AGAATTGATAACACCTCCACGGCTTGAACGTTAGATCAAACCCAACCCACAACACCAACTCCAACGATAGTAATTTTCAACACTCAGCACTTATATCTAATGCTTGATGTTCTTCTAAGGCGGTTGCGCTATTTTATCCTACATTACAATTTCGTATTGTAAATCTTTGTTCTTAATTACGTACGTGACTGAAAGTGTTAAGATATTACTCGCACAGTGCACATACCAACGCAACGCAAGAACAAAGACCGTCGTTAAATACCCGAGGAATAGAATGCATTTATTACTAATAAACTTTTCTCTTCATGCTTGCTGCGGCCGCGTTGTTTATATTTCCTGTTCTCTTCCTATCGACTGGCAATAGTAAATTATTACCAAGCATACAAGAAGAAATAAAAGAAAATAATGCGATTGCTTAAGACTTAAGAAGAACGCAAAGAAACCGTCGACAATGAGAGATTTTATAACCTAATCTTTTATTCATTGCATATTCATTATAATTATAGGCATGTGATGCATGTTATGCTATTGTTTAATAAATATTTATCATGTTTGTCATAGGCAGTTATTTTTATTTGTTAAATCAATAAATGTCGATTTATTTTTGCTGCAACAAATTATTTTGAAAGCAATCTAACTGTTTGTCTTGTTTACAATGCAATTGTATAAAATAAGATATGTGGGTGGTAATTGTGCGTAGCGTCCTTAATCACATTGTTCTGTTGGAAGTGAATCATCCTCAAGCAAAATCATCCACCTTCTATAATTTCTATATAATTACTAAGTATAGTACCCAAGTACCATAGAATAAGATGGATTATTTCCTAACATAACCTCAATGATACATAGTTCTACAAAGTTGAATGAAACTTGTGTGCATCTTACAAATCTAAACAAAAGTTATCTTCTCTGTTTGAACAGTACACACATACGGTATAAAAATGACTGATAAGACGATAAGACTATAATACACACTATAAAATGTGAAATATTTTATACTGGAGAACAATTTTAGGTTAGTTTTTCCTAAATTAAATTTATTCATGAAATGCACTGCACATGAAACAAGGGCATAATAATTTACCATGAATACAAACTAGAATTAGGGTCTTACTACTTTTTAGCTGCAGTTTTTTTTTACCTAACGAATGTTATTTTTTCTGGCAGATGTCCAAAGTTAACGGAAGCTTATGTTGGAATACCTAGCATGCACCCAAAAAGAAATCGAAACCTGGTGTAATGGCGACGAAAGACTTTTTCATCTCGACTGGCGAAATGTTTTCGATGTGATTATTTATTTATACTTGCCAATCGCACGTGGTTGTATGCTTTGCATCGACATCAATAAAAATTCGAACGTTTTGGTTTTTATAAATTTATTTATTTTAGTAGTAATTTGACCCATTTGAAATTTAGGCGTAATTTAGAGCATATTTATTTTCCGGCGTTTTAATGTGTGAGAATTACGAAATTTCGACGATCAAACGCAATTTATTTGTTGTAAAATAAATATGATTTGTAGCTTTGATAGACGGCTAAAGTTTAGAGATCACTTGTCTGGAAAATTCGTTCAATTCTGCTTGAATGAGCATCTATCATGGCGGAAAACTTTACTCGCTTTGTCACAACTTTATAAACTGTCAAAGAAACAAAGTTAACTCATTTTTTCGAACAATTTGTTAGTCATAGCTTTTATGTGAAAATTTCATAAACTTTTATAGGTTTAATAAAGAAGTAAATGTGACACGCTAATTTAAATAGAAATAAGATTTATATCTGAAGAATCCAGGAGTATTAATCACCTGGCTAACTAGCTTTCAAACCACATCTTTCTTCCCAGTCATAATTTAATCTGAACACCTGAATATATTATAAACGCAACTAATTTTGATTCTATCTTCTTTGCCAGTCATTTAACATTTATTCATTCATCTAACTTGCTAAACTTTTAATTCAGTAGATGGCTAATCTTCGAGTTTCGACATCATTTTCACACAAACAAAGGGACTTTTCGTTTCTCGTGCTGGTTGTTCCGGTCGACGAACGCTCGTGTCAGAATAACGACTCTGTTTTGCTCGATGCACTTTTTGGCCACGTGCCTTCGCCGGACTCCCAACAAAACTATTATTTGCTCGCGACGCGCGGCTATTCCATGCGTAATAAAGTCAGCCTGGACGAACGCAATAATATCATCCACCCCCGCACGAACGCCCCACAAACCCTTAAACCCATATACAATTTCAACATAATTAAATTCTCGCCCCCATTAAGTTTATACCGACGTGGCGACGCTCACGACGGCTGAGCAAATCAATAAATAACCAATGACTTGAGAAGTACTTCACTTAGCGCGGATTAATAATATACCGAGTGTTTGCCATGACTATTCATCCTGTTTGAACTCTGATTAGTCATTGAAGTCTTCTTATGTGTTCGGTTCCGCCAAAGAATGCCATTGTGTTTCGCTCTGAAGTGAAGCAACCAGTGCGTGTAGTCATATACCCAAAGTTATAAATAAAACATAGGGTACACAAATACAACACACAATACAATCATACAATTCGGTTTTATTTTTTCGGTGTGTGCGCTCGACGAACGCACGAACACGCGCGCAATTAATGTGAATGCTTGGCTGCCATAGCGGCATTAAAATAGAAAAATGGGTGTGCCGGTTAATTAAAAAAATTTGAATGTCATTTAGCTGGGTACACACGATAACACCCGCGTCTGACCCAATGCTAATGCAGCCGGCCGGCAAATTATAGTGCGGACGCAGTGCTGAAGTGTAAACATTAAACCTAAAACGTCGAATATAACAAATGTTTAATGATGTTTAATGATGAATAGCATAATCGCCCCATGACGATCAATCAAAGCGCCATTGGTTTCCTGTAGCGCCCTACCACTTGAAATCAATCTCCTATGTAAAAATCAACATAGTCTAACCTACAATTAACGTTGGAGTTGTGTAGCGCGCCTTACATGATGGCAACCAAAATTACAGATTGTGTTTTCGCGTGTTGGAAGTTGTTTCTTTCCGATTTTTTTTAATCAAAATGCATGTAAGTCAAGTTAATGTATGATGCACATCTTGTGATGATTTATCGCCTACATTTAGATGATTATTGCCTTTATTCGTCATCTGAACGTGATTCTTGGTATAAAAGTTATCAAACCTCAATTTAGCGGCGCGTTCGAATGAGTTTTGACTGAGTAGACGTGAGATAAATCACGTTCCTAACCAATGTTTTAGTATATTTGTAATAGTATTGATTACGAAGCAAAGATTATGGAACCGAATTAAATTTTTTTCGCCTGCGTCATGTCATGGGCACCGACTTGTCATGACCATGTTTTTTTATTTATTTTAGGGAACAACGCAACATGCGCAAGAGAACTTTATTACACTTTTCCTATTTGACTATTTTTATGGCTTCCTGGGGTGGTTTGTCGTGGTTTCCAACATGCAAGAGAATTTTATAGAAACACATTTTACTTTGAACATTTTTTATCGCTTGTACTTTGATTGTACTTTTGATTCATGGGCTTTTAAAAAATAAATAAAATAAATTGTGTACCTACATACAAAAACCTTGAGGGTGATTTTATTATGCTTAACATGATGTAAAATGAATGAATGAATATTTTATAAATCAGGAGATTCATTGATAAATTATATAGCATAACTTGTTTACTAATAAACTTGAATATGGAATGATAATTTATTGAGTTATTGCAAAACCGAATTGTTTTTTGTTTGATTTCCGTTGGTCAGCAATATTTGCGCGTGGTGGTCCAATTACTAACGCTTTTTTCCAGCGCATACCGCTGCACAGATGTTGCGTTACATTCATAATCTCAGAAACAAGACAAACAAATTATATTTGCTAAACTCAGGTCAAATGCCAAAAGTTATAACAAGATATAAGCACGTCCGCTGTATCCAAATATGTTGAAAACATTTCACTGTTTACTTAAACTGTGATTATAACTAAAGCTATTACAAATATGTAGTGTGATAACATTTGATAAATGCTTAATTTAACAAAATAACATCTAGGAATTGAGTTTAAAAAAGTCCAAATAAAGTGTGCGTGTATATTTAAAGTTGTATCTGTTTTTTAACTTCCTACGATTCAAAGCTTTTAATTTTCAAGTTTGTTTATAGTTTATTGATGTATTCGATCATCACATATTGCCCCCACGAGTGAAGAGTTAGATTCCAATTTGAAGAAGTGGATATCATCCACAAATGTATGCAAGACGCAATTAATTTAATGTTTATTTTTCCATTAACATCGCCTTTTTATGCGCGCATTTCAATTTATTTTCGTTTAGCACTCCACGCGTTGCGTATACAGACTCTAAATGCAAATAATCATCTCACTTAATTTTTAGTGCTCAAAACTCGATGATTTTAAGCGACATTAAGTTTAGTTTTGTCATAAAACCAATACTGGTAGCTGAATAAACTATTTTACGTGCGTGTGAATGAGAGAGAATTTAATCTTGCATCATTGGGGACACACCTATTATAATAATGATGTGAAATGTAAAATGGAAATTTAAATATAAGAAAAAATTATACACGAGGTTCACAGTGAAGTTGTGTTAACGGTTTATGTAGAGATGGAAAGTTTAGAAATGTTGTACTGATTTGTTTGATGTAATTAATACCATGTTTACAATAACGAGTTTTTAATCCAAAACTAATTTAAATAATAAACAGGATATTTCTAATAAATTGGAATTGATACCAATATATGTGACTATAGTTATAAATTCCAACAGATATTGGTTGAAATTTAATCAGTTCCATACATAATTTACATAAGAATAGCAAGCATTTGAATAAACAAATTTATCTACTTTTTGTGTATAAAAAAGTTTCAGAATTTTGATAATTAAACATCTGTATCAAATTGCTTAGTCATTTATAAAAAATGTAGGTTGAATTAATTTAATACAATTTAAGAATTAATTTGTATTCTAATAAATACCTTGTTTATGTAGAACCGCTAAAATAGCCAACAATAGTAAGAACTTCATTTTGTTATTCTTTGTATTTTGATAGCAGTAAACAACACTGTCGAGTCAAATCGTTGTTATAATCCTCTCGCCGGTAAACTTGAAATCAGTTTCATACAACTTCGAGTCGCCGCGATAACTTTTTATTTGTTTCTTTTTAAAATAAGAGAAGAAACGGCGGTAAAAACCGGCGCGACGCGCAAGCAACCAGCGACCACAGCACAGAACTAAACTTTACGAACTGAACGAGAACCGGCGACTGACGAAAACGATTCGTGTTGGATGGAATGCATGCAGCGTGGTTTTCAACGGCTGCTGCCACCTAACGGTGCGGTAAAAGAACCACCAACTGAAAAGTTGATTTCAAATTAAATTAAGGGTTTAAACAACAGCTTTAACAAGTGTAGCAATTTTACACCTAAAATTTGGTTAATGTACAGAAAATTAGATTTTAATAAGAACTAATAATGACTAGTAACTTGGTCAGATATGACATCATATAGGACTTCTTATTACGTGACCAATAAGTGATCTCAAACCTCTACACTTCCTCCTTACTTCCGTTAAAAAAATATTATTAGTATGCAAAAAATACCTCATAATGAATCATTACATCATAAAGTAAACTGAATCGACGAGTGGGCCAAACGACAAAAATATTTCTCGAAACCAAATGAGTTATCATACATATACAATTTGTGGAATGTGTCAGAAGCTAAAAATACCTCGATACTGAAAAAAGTTCTAATGTGTATTTCCCGCTTTCCAAGGTATGAATAATTAATATGGAAAGTGCACATTACTGCAAAAAATTATTTCAGACTATAAATAAAGTCAGAAAATAAAAAAAAAAACTATTTTTATTAATAATCAATAAAATGACTCAGAAAATGAGGTAACTGGATGTTCTCGAAATAAATAAGTTAATCTATTGTAGTTTCTTATCTAAATTTATTTTGTGGGTTAATATGTTCATTGAGAAAATAATTTCGAAGAATTGAGATGATCGAAAACAAATTGAAGTTCGCCGTTGTGCAATCTCCGGTACCTCTTAGAAAATATGCTCGTGCTTACACGGCTTGCTCAATTGATGTTTTGGATTTCGAAAACTGGAACGCTTTTATTTACATTTCGGTTGCACACATGCATTGCGTTTGTAGCGTTCCAGCGCATTCTCGTAAATTCACTGCGCTGTACGTTTCTATTACGTGCGTTGTACACACATACAAAAAATACATCTTAAAGATTCAACGGATCTCTGCGTGTGTGCGTTATATGAACATTCAACATTAATGTACTCGTAAAATTAGGAACAACACGCAAGTCTTGCTAGCCGCAGATTTCGAGTATGGTAAATAAACTCAAATCAGATGTTTGCTTCTTTTTTACGTCTCCATACTCCAATCAAATACATATTAAGTAGGCTAATCGATGATAAATGAGTTAAGTGTGTATTTAGTCGCACTTCCGGCATAAATCTGCGCCACACAAAGAAAAGTGAAACATTTCAATGCGCCATTAAGTAAACAGGATTTGAATTGAATTCAACCTAAACAATCTAATTTATTATATGCGCTGAGTAATTAGATATGTTTGATATTTCCGATTAATTTGCTATCAAATAATTGGGCTAGGAAAGGAAGAACATGCTTTTGCAATTAGAACGGATAGCGGTTTGGAATCAAATGTCAACCTTTCTAGAATCGCTTGATGAATCAGTGAAAATTGGCATTAAATCTTTTGCGGTTGCCCATGTGAATCTCATGCTGGTTGACTAATTAAATTTAAAAGTAAATAAGCAGTATTAGATTAGTCACATATTGAATTTTGCACTTAAAATGATTTAAAACATATTTCTAAATATTAATCAATGATCACAGCTTGTGTGAAAGTCTTATCTCTGAATCAGCTCAGCCAAATGTTCAAAACATCTGCATCCCTCTTATTATTGAAGTAATATTACACCTACTGCATTATTTTATAACTTAGAACCTGGTAAACTTGGTTAAGTTGATAAGTACAGTTATCATGTTCAGAGGCGAGAAAAAAGTGAATAGAATATTGTTACCTGAACTTTCTTGCATTCCATTCAGGTGGTAGCCTTTTTGGAACACCGCCGCAAATCTCGTAATTCCAAGAAATAATAGGTTCTGCCAAGTTTACCTTCGTTTTTCTCTTGGTGAATGGTAATCGCTCGTGCGGCATTAAAATCACAATGGACACATTCGCACAATGGCGAGAAGGAAAATCTACATGTCCAAAATGTCCGATATGGACAATCCTATTGTCAAAACGGACATAACAGCTTATTATAGTCTGTGGATTTGTTGGCAACAAAAGGGCGAATTTTGCACTAACATTTTTTAAAGATTTTACTACCTACATACAACATCGTCACAAATAGAAACTTTTTACTTGGAATTTAACAATAAATTAGAAAATAATGAAAAGATGCAGATCGGCTCTGAATTATTTTATTGAATTACTCTTGTTGTTGTAGAATTGTTTATACACCGCGTTAGATTTCGTTCTATAAGTACTTTATGCAACCCAAACTGCAAACTTATCCTATTCTTCAACGACAATGTATAGTTTCAATAATAAAATTGAATTATAATTATTCTATAACCATTTTAAGAAATAGTAAAACAATATTCTAGCATATTTTAAAAAATCACACGTTTTAATACCTTAAACAACTTGGCCTAAATTGTTTTAATCTCTAATCTCTGCATTACTCATCAAGAAACATTCCATATTAAAAAAATTAGTAATCCACAAATCCACGCCTTAACTACTTTATACCAATTTAAATTGAATTAAATACCAAGATTATTTATATTTGCTCATTTCTAATTTGTTAAAACGCATAAACCGTTAAATGAACATAGAGGAGAAAGTAAAAAAGTCTATCCTTCTCTGATTCCCACTTAAAGATTGTGATAGTGCGATAGGTGCGATAGTAGCCTAGAGCTGATCTAACCTGAAAAGGATTCTAAAACTCGAGGCCAATCTGGTTATTTGGAAGCTTCGTAAACTACGTTAACATTCAAGAGATATGCCCTCTAAAAAGAAGAAATACAACGCACGATTTCCAGCGGTAATCTTTAAATAAATTATTGTAAATATCAACAATGTTTATACATTTTTTGTAGGGGAGAATCAAGAAAATAATGCAAACTGATGAGGAAGTTGGAAAAGTGGCCCAAGCTGTACCTATTATAATTTATATCCTTTTTAAAATCAACATATTAACAGTTTTTTTAAACTTTCTAAATGTACACTTATCTCAAGTGCATTTAAACTTTAGGTTATGGCTACTATGTTTACTTTTTGAGAGAAATTGTTTCCTTAATAATGCTTACCTAGAACTTTAGAACTGTTTGTGGAATCACTTCTGACAAAAACAATGCTGATAACCGAATCCCGGAACGCCAAGACACTAACGCCATCACATCTAAAACAATGCATACAATCGGAGTCAAGATTTGACTTTCTGAAAGATCTTGTCAGAAACATCCCAGATGCCAGTGTGCAAGAAGATAATGAAAATAATGCTGAGTTTGTTGAATCCACACAGACTGACACTTTCCCAGCACCATGTCAACCAGTCATTCAGCCTACTTTTTCCACAAATCCTGCAACACCAGCACCCAGTGTCATTGCTCGTACACCAGTTATACAGTACCAGCCTAGCTTTAAAGCACCTTCTTCTGATATAAGCGACGTGTCAAAAGTGAGCGTTTCGGTGGCACCGCTGACACAAAACGATGAACCAAAGATTCACATAGAAATAGGACATCCAGTTGGACCCGATACAGCTCCGTCCATTAACGTTGATCCGCCACCGCTTGTGCCAATCTCTGCCAGCAATTATTCAAACAGCAGTACCGGCGACAATTTATTTATCGATGAAGACTACGACAACTAGAACAATAATATAAACGCACCACATTTGCGTTTCTTTTACAAGTACATGTGTACCTATTTTTTAACAATAAGATTATCTACCATTAAGTAATTCATATATACATATTAAACAGTTCAATTGTATGTAGTTTTAATTTGATTTTTAAGTTCTCTAAAGAAATGTTTCATAGGCCTATTTCATTTAATACTCAAAATTTACTCTCCGGAAATGTGTGCACATTAGAACCTCAATTTAATTTGAACAAATGTTAGCTCTAGGGATCATTCATGTTTTCATATTTGTTACCACAGCAGTGAAATATACTTCATCACTTATTTAAAGCAATTAGAAGCGCGATATTGTTTACTCTAGACAATGATAATAAATAAACACCTATTTATACATGAAAAGTTACTATTACTTTAAATTTGCACAATATAATCATTATAACCTCACTAAAACTTGCTTAAATCAGGTTAAATCCATAAAAGTTTTACTAAAGTAGTAAAAAACAAATAAGCAATTAGTTTTAAAACATGAAACTTATAAAATATATTGCATTTATTTCTTTTATTTTATTTGCCGTCAAATTTAAACCATTCATGTTATTTAACGTACAAAAAATGAATAATTATTTATAGATTACATATACATACATATTTTATATATACTGTAATTATTATGTCCATTTCGTCAGATTTCGGATAAATTATTACAATGAAATGAAGAATTTTGTTTTATAAAACATTTCCTTTGCGCAAAGGATTTGTGTCTGTACATTTTGCACAAGTATTGCAAAATTATCTTCTTCATAAGTTTCATTTCGGGTAACTGTTCTTCATTGGATGATACAAAGGTAAACATAAAATAATTACAGATGAAAAACATTAGCGCTAGGTTTAAATAAATAAAATACAATACATGTGATTTCAAATTGCAAGATAACGTTGGTTAATGATGAATGTGTGAGATAAATAAATAACTTCAATATTGCATTGATAGCTGTGAAAAGTTAAATTAAATAATGGCAATGTAGCACCGACAATAACAACAGCAAATGCTCTGCAGTAAATATATGCAATAATTATAAATCCAGTTATAATTATCGAAATATTGTTTGGCAAAAAACCCTTCTTAGTCATTCAGCTCTTGTTATTGCGATGCGTGTTTATTTAATTCAATTTGTACGATATATCTGGCAAGTGTTTAATTGCTTTGCATAAACATGAAAGCAACGTTGATTGTTTCTTGTGATTAAATGGTAAATTCATGTCTAATGATGCACGATTCTTGGTAGTGCTGATTGTTTCCTTCACAATCACATTCAATAAATATAGATTATCTCTCTAAGCGTAAACGTACGATTTTTACATATAGAATTAAGGCACTTATCAATAAAATATTGTTCGTTCTCATGCAAACAAACGTTTTAGTACATTTTCGTATAAAAATATTTAGTAAAATTAAATAATTATTCTTGAGTAATAATTTAATTTAAATTAATCTTAAACTGAGCTACCGATTACTTCTCATTTATAGCTTCAAATAAATTGTTTTCGAATAAGTAGTTAAAACGTGCAAATTTGTACATTTTTCGTATAAAAACTGTACAAACATCATCCCGCAGATCAAATTATCAGCTATAATCATTGCCCTCATACAAACCCTCGCATAATTCTAACAGTCTAAGAACAGGGCTGATGTTGTACGGAAACAGTTCTTTGTCCACCAATCGACTGATTTGTATTCTCAGTCGTATAAGCACCGACATAGTCTCATCCAACTCATTAACTCGCGATCCCGCAGAATATTCTCCGCAACTAGTTAAAAACATTTGCCAATTGCGTTTAGTATACTTAAGAAATCGCAATAGATACAACAAAAAGCACGTCTCGTTACTGACTAGATAGTCCAAGAGGACCCCGAGTCTTGGCTGACAACGTGCAGAAATTCCACGAACGAATAGATCGGATTCAGCATGCTGATCAAATCAGGAAAAACTGCGTTTCTATAACTAATGCCGATCGTGATATCTAGCGTACAAACCATCGATTCAATCATATAATCGTCTTGATCACTGAACAGATGAATGAGTATCTTGGAAAATGGTGTCTCCGGATGAAAATCCAAACCGTTCTTCAGGAAATAATCGACTTTTTTGAGTACATCGCGAATTGAACGTTCGATGAGTTGCATATCTTGATAAAAGTCCGTGTCGTCCGAACCAACACTCGAGTCGGAACTATCCGAACGCGTTTCTTTGATTGTGATCGCTACAGATTTCAAAACTAACAACACCATCTTCTGCAGTAGAGTTTTGTCCGTCGTTGTTTCGTTTGGATGAACTGTGCGTATCGTTCCAACAAAACTATTTACAGTGAAGCCTTCTTGTCGCTTGTAAGGTAGACTGTCCAAGAGTCGATAATCTTTCACATATCGCACAATCAAATGTGCTAATTGACATGTGTCTTCAGGGAGGAGATCCTGCAGTGCTAAAGTACTGCCATAACATAGAACCTCATTGAAAAGTGATAGAAGTTGTTTCCATATTATTGGCGGGATGTTACTTTGTAGTAAACCAACGAAGATTTCAAGATGTGCATAGAATGGTTTGGTGTCCATTATACTCAAATTAGCTTTAACGCTTATCGTACTCTCCCATAAAGCCAAAAATGTCAAGACGCATGTTTGTGCTTCCGTTCCATCGTTTTGTACAATAAGATTCTTAATTTTATGTACTAGATCAGGCCATCTACTCTCCAAGCTTTTGATGATTAAATCTTTGATGGCAGATGTGTCGTAACTGTCTGGATCCGTGAATGGAATAGTATTGCAATCTTCTTGTGTACTGCTACCGGCACCTTGGCTCTCCTCTAATACATGAATCTCAATATCTTTCCATTCCACCACGCGCTTGATAATTTCCAATGCAAAATTCGTTTTTGCATAGTCAATATTCTCCAACGCTAGAAAATTAATTATTGTTTCCAGCCACTCGTTGTTAATATTTGTTTTCGCCACGATTAGAAAACTGCTGAGTACTTTTGCAGACAAATAATTGATGTACTTGTTTTGTATGTCACACAAACTAATGATCTGCTCAATGAGATTGTACTCGTTTCGAATTATCGTGTCGCAAACATCGACGATGCGCGAGCATATGTGACCTTTATTGTTCTGTTTTAAATAGACATCAAATAGCAACTGCAGTTTTGATAAAAATCCTAGAATCTTCGTCGTGGGCCACTCTGTTAACATCGCCGTTCTTTGCACACCGTGCGCGTCATTCACGACCTGTCCTTCAAACGATTCTCGGAGCGTTGCTTCCGATATTCCACATAAACACTGTTTTATTAAGTAATCCTGAAACACATCCTGACGTTCATAGCTGGTTTGTAGAGGCGGTCGCGTGATTCGTTCTTCTATCACTGGAAGGTGTTCACTGGGATTGGGCATTATTAGCTCTGACCCATAATGAAGTATTGGTGGTGGATGGTAATACAGGTCAGGTGATTTCAATTCATTAATGGAGTTGATATCTTCTTCATTTACATTTGCAGGTAAAGACAACTGCAATGAAGACAAATCTGTATGCATTCCATTTGGTTGAATGAAATCAGGCTCATCAGCATTGTGATCTTCATCATCTCTCCTAAGCTTCTTCTTTACTGGCTGTTCAGAAGCCATCTTGTGTTCTTTTTCTCGTAGCACCATTAGAAATAATTGCGGAGACTCGGCTTATAATGCGAATTTGTCAGTTATTGCACGAAATTCTAAAAGAAAAGCGCATTTTAGAGAAGGTGGTTGCACAAAATGACAGTAGCAATATGTAGCCTAAGGCCACTACTCAGATTTTTGTCAATTTCTGGCTACTGCGAGCAATAAATCATACCAAATAAAGATAATCGTTTAGCCATGTTTATGAGCCAGAGAAATACAACAAATTATCTCGATTTAGCACGTTATTTAACAACTTACGATCGTTTCTTAAATTTGTTTTGATTGACGTCGGGTCTACGTTTCTCATCTTGAGTGTCCCACATTGCACCGCGCCCGTTTATCAAACGCACATGAACTCTCGAGTGATAGTACCGACTTCCTTGCTCAAATAAGTTCATTTAGCGATTAATTGAGCATTAATTTCTTGTTCGAAAAACAATAAATTTACACACATACACAATATTCTCCATTGCGTACAATATGACTAGTTGGTCAATTAGGCAACCGTATTCATGCCCATAATTATTTAGCAAAAAACGTCGGTGTTAAATAATTTATAAATATGCATAGTATACTTTAAGTTATAATAGTAGTATATTGTTTATTTTACGTTAAAATATTTACGCTAAACAGCTTAAATGTATTTATAAACTTTTGAGTACAACGCTCAATTGACTAGCGTTTTAAGGAATTTGCAGTGTTGCCGTCAAGAGTGCTTCCATTCATAATTTTTACGCGAATTTTTTCGAATGTTACACACATCTGGGTCTTTTCAGGCGTAAGGACAGTAATATAATTGTGTTTTATGTTTAATTTTGCATGAAAAGCATCCTGAAAATGCTTGATTTGCCCGCAAACGCGTGTTTTTAAGAACGGAATAACGCCGTGCGTAATTCGGGAGAGCGCTTTTTTATTCATCAGATGGGCGATGTTGCTCAGTTGTGCTTGTTGCGCACACGAGAGTAAACGACGTAAACGATCCGATACAAGTGGATACAACGACCTTCAGGTTTTTCTGTTGCTTCCTTTAATTTTGTTTTGTTGTTTTGTCTGTTAATATTTGTTTGGCAAAGTTTCAATTTCTATCTAACAAAATTAGCAACCCTTAACACATTTCTTGTTGATATGAAATACATTTTTGAATAAATATAGCGGCATTTATTATGTTATCTTGACCGAACTAAAAAATCAGGTTTTGATACTTTTACCGGCTTTTACAATTCCTTATATCTGTTTAAATTATAATACTTTCTTGTTAATTCCTGTAAACATTTCTGCGGATTTCATCAACAGCATTTAGTATTTAAACCTTTTCGGCATTCTCCGGCTATCCAAATGTCACAAACATTGACAGGTTAAAATAAAAACAAGAAATGGTTGCTAGTTGTCAGTGATCGAAAAAAGTGTAAGATGGCCGATGACATCTGAACGATAATAACGCAATAATCACGAAATTTTTACCTGCTGCACTTACGAAATTGGAGCCTTTGTTAATTTCATCCTAGACAAGCGACAGACCTCGACAGAATCGCCACGAATCAAAATGCGGACGATGTGTAATTTATAATTGCGTTCCCGTGCGTTGTTGTGCGTCCCTTTAAATTCGCGTGATTTATGTTCCCCGGAACTGTTTGTTTTGGTCTGTTCAAGGTTATTGGACCATTAAATTATTGCTATCGTTGCTAACATCTACGCGATGCCCGTTAAGAAATTCGCGCAACGTTATCGATAACCTTACTATTATGTTAAGCATATCAGATAATTAAACTTGCCTACAATCTAGAAATAAATTGTAAGTACCACTTTTTATTTCAATAAAGCCTCTTTATACTAACTGTCTTGTCTAGTATCATGGGGAAGAGGCATCTAGTTGATTCCTATGAATTAGAGCCACCAAGGAAGAGGGCAGCAACAAATTGTGATATTGAGCCTGGTGATATTTTGTGTGATATCACTGGGAAACAATGGAGATTGGGACAGTTATTAGGTTCAGGTGCCTTTGGAGAGATTTATGTTGCCTCAGATTGTAACTTAGGAGTTGTGCCTGAAAACAGCCCCTATGTTGCTAAATTAGAGCTGCATACAAATGGGCCACTCTTTATTGAGACACATTTTTATCTGAAAGTTGCTAAAGAAAATCAAAGTAAGTGGTTTTCTCAAATTTCATACATTTTTAAGGAATAAAATTAGTAGCAGTTTATGCTTTAAGCTAAAGTTTTAGTGGCCTTTATTTCAAGGACTAATTACTCAACATTCTGTGTTTGCTTTATTATTTGCACTTTTCAAGACATATCTTTAATACTGTATAAATTTCCATAGTCAAGGAATGGAAACGGAAGAATAGGAAAACTATAGGAATGCCACATTACATTGCATCAGGATCACATACAAAGTTAACAACTCGTTACCGGTTTTTAATCCTTCCTCGTTACAACGTAGATCTGCAACAAATCCTGGAACGTCACGGAAACAAGTTCAACATTAAGACTGTACTCACAATTGCATTGCAATTATTAGATACCCTGGAATACATCCACGCCTATGGCATTGTGCATGCTGATATCAAAGCCTCAAATATACTAATCAATGAAAAAACAGTTCCTCCAAACACAAACAAATTTTCATCTGAACAACCGCCAAATAAGCCTACTGATGAGAATTGTAGGATTGCCAGGCACTTCAGATTATGCAGATTAAAGAAAAAACCGCATAATTTACGCTCCAGCAAAATTCTTCCTTATAGGGTTGAACCCCTGCCGACAGAGCGCGACCCAGCCCCCATCGAGCAAAATCAAAATATAGATCCTAATCAAGTGTATCTTCTGGACTTTGGATTATCATGCAAATATCTGCAATCTAATGGCGAGCACAAAAAGTATTGCGTGGACGCCCGAAAGGCGCACGCTGGTACGATTCTATATTGTTCTTTAGATGCGCACAACGGAGTGCAATCACGACGCTCAGATTTGGAAAGTTTAGGATATAATATGGTACATTGGCTTACGGGTGTGCTGCCGTGGATGACCAATGTTGACGAATACGAAATCGTGAAGAAAAAGAAACAGATTTGTATGCAAGAACTAGAACACTTCTTACATTTTTGTTTCGGTAAGAATATTCCAACTTTTTTGAAGAAGTTTTTTATGCATGTTAAGTCTTTAAACTTCGACGAAAAACCCGACTATGAGTATTGCCGCAAGATCTTCCTACAAGGCTTTAATGAGTATGGCTACAAAAAAGTATTCGTCTTAGACTTTATGAACAAAGAGGGCTGGGGCTTGAAGAAGAAGCTCAGTAAAAATACTGAAAACGATCGGCGACGGGCGTCGGTAGTGTGTTCGATTATGCGCACACCTTTGAAGTCAAATGTTGCTGTAAAGCATGTATTACGCAAGAAGGACAAAGCCAAAGCAGTGATGCGATGGTCGAAGATTTTGTTCGATCCGGAGATGATTATAAAGTCTGGCAAGCGTGTGAAGGAACTGGAAGAGAATGATAACAGTGACGCACTGGCTAACTTAAACATTCAGGAGTTGAATCCTACTGACACGATGTTAGAAGTTTATAATAATTATTTGGAACGACAAAAGAATTTCGAGCTAGGATTACCTACCAAACAAAGAAGCAATGAGTATGTTATTCATAAGCGTTTTATATTAAGTTAATTAATTAATTGCATTAAATGTTAAAGAACTCCGGCGATTGAGGGTTACAATGCGACAATGATGCGGATTTATAAGAAAATCTTACAACGTGAGGTTGAAGCTGTCAAAACAACAAAACCACCAAAAGTTAAAAGGACTGCAGGCAAACACGGAAAGATTTCAAAAGGTATAAACTAGTAAATAGATAAAATATTAATTAATAGTAAACAATTAATGTTCTTTTTCATAGTTGCTTCGGTTAATCACGGATACAATATGTCGATGATGACGATCCATGACAAAAATGGAGCTGAGATGATTAAAAAACCAACGCAAGCCAAAAGGAAAAGAAGTAAAGCTGCCGAAAAAGTTGTGATAGGTACATGATCATACACTAAACATAAAGTTATAAATAAACGCATGAATAATTTCTTTTGGTAGCTACTCCTGTGACACAAGTGACGCCAGCGGTTCCTGTGAAGAGATACAACACGAGACATTCAAAAAGAACAAAAGTAAACTGCGCATGTTAACAGAATGAAATTATATAATGTATAAACACTTCCTATTTGTAGTACTTCAATGTTGAATGATTGTTTAATTTTTTTAATCATAGCATGAATACAATTATGATAAACACTAAGATATTGTGTTGAATGTTGAAAGACTGCATTGGCTGTAAATTGAAATGATTAAATCCTGGGTGAATTCTACTAATCAGTTGGAGATAAATTCAATGAGCAGTTGAAAACTAAATGAGGAGTTCGGTTTGAATTGTAAATTTGAGATATAAAAGCAGTTTGGATATAATTTACAGAATAGAGCGAGATGATTCTTTGTGTGATTTAACTTTTGTACCAATATACTATTGTGTTTTAATATGGCATTGCTCTCAAACTGATATCAGACTTTTATAGAAGTTTTAAAAGCATAATTTGGTTGTTGGTCCATGTCCTATCTTGAGATGATCCAAAAAATCGATTGTGATGAACCTAAAAATGCGCACGTGGCTTTTTATACTTAAATTTATTTAAAATTTATGAATACACAGTTTTCCCAAAAAAGAACATAATCTATCATACACTTCTCTAAAATTCAATGCGACTGTAAACATTTGTTGATTCTTGATTGGGCATAGTAAATCCACTTCATCACATTGCATCCTCGTAGTTGTAATCCACTGTATCTACTTTATTAGTAAAGCAAATCAAAGTTGTTAGGTGGTAATACTGCTATTTACACTGTCAGTTATTCAAATCGAAACAGTTTACTCTATGCATTGCCCTTTCGATCATCTGAGTAGTAAAATAAATATGTACGGAACTCATCATAACGCAAGTAGAAGGCAACAACTGTTTTCGTTGCTGTGAAGTGTAGTAAAACAACGCGCAGTATCTCCTCGAGTCATCTTCATCGACAGTAAAATAAAATAGAATAAGTAGTAGTTTGTTAATTATATTGGGTGATTGATATTATCGTTAAACTATCTCATATTTATCAGGGAATTGAACCATTTCAACAGAATATTTTACGGGCGAGTCGTCATCAACCAATGACACTTCAGTGATCTGGAACCAATGCAAAAATATTTCAGTATACGTAAAATTACAGCTAATTATTTCCTACCTTAATGTCAGTGTATGAATTTTTGGATGTAAACGAAACTGTAATGGGGAAAAAGTCGTTCGGAATTGCCTTGGCCGCTGAAAATTCAATCGCACCAGTCTTGTTACTTGCATCCACAATCGGCAAGGACCACACTAGTTGATTCTGTCTAGCTATATGATTATAATTGCCTTCACACTCCGCAACTACTGGATTGCAACCAATTCTAGATCAAACAAACATAGTGATATAAATAACAGATGTTAGAAACTAATGCATCTACTAAAAGATAAACATACGGCAATGGAATGGAAATCGTGACATCAGATAATTCTAAGTTTGTATGAGCCAGCTCGTATTCGATATTGACGTCACAACTTCCGTCGCCTGCCTCGGAGGGCCAGCAGTTGATTAACAGTGGGATGTGCGCTTCGTCAGTACTCTGCAAGCGCCACTTCAGGACGCCCACATCTGTATTCAGTGGGAACGGTTTCTGCGGCTGTTTAAGTCCGATCTGCGACCGCAATTTGAACAGCTCTTTGTCGACATTTGGATGCGTCTGCAATTGAATACCTCTGCTGTCATTGTTCTCCAATTGCACACGAATACGTCCCCATTTTTCATTGCCAATGTGCAACGTAATCAAACCGAGCAACTCAAAGTGCTGCACGCCGCCATCACGATACATTTTCACTATTAATTTCTCTTCCTGTCGTAGCATTACTTCGTCCACGTTGGTCTTAATTGCGGGCGCTTTGAGGCCTTGCGACATTTTGTTGTTGGGCGAGATAACATTTTCGCCTTCGGACTTTAGTTGGTCAACGAAAGACTCGACGTCTTTCGATTTTCCGCCGAGTTTCATACCGCGTGCAGATACTGGTTTCTGAGGAATCGAGCTGCTGTACGATGATGGCGGCTTAATGTCGTTATTGGTATTTGCCACATCACCAACGACTGGTACGGGGTGTATCCTGTGGAATTGCCGAAACCACCGCTGCCACCAAACGATGGCTTTCCACCCTTCTTTGCAGCTTCCATTCTTTGCCGTTGCAGTTCCTTGGCTTTCTCACGCATCTTGTTCTTCGCTTCACGTTCTTGTGTCTGCAAATATTATTTAATTTTAATTCCAGCAAAGAAATAACTTAAAAATCGTATTACCTGGCGCACAGCTTGATAAACTTTTTCTTCATGGGAATCCATTTCAACGAACGTTCTAATCTGTGATAGATTAACACTTTCTCTGTATCCAAGAGCAACAATCTCATCAAAGGCAAATATTAAGTTGAAAGCATTTTCTGCTATTTCATTTTCATCTAAAGACCGGCAGTAATCTGGTATCTAATAGGAATTAATATTAGAATATTAGATTATTATATATTGCATCATATTGAAACACTTACAACTCTGGCAAATAATCTTAATGTTTCTAAATCCTCCAAAATATTACTAGCTTTAGTTGTGATGAGAAGCATATACAGTTTCTCCAATGGTTGATACACATATCTTACAGAATCAGTCTCAACAAATGTGTGTTGAGTACCAGCTGGGATCAGCTTGGGAAATGCACCAAGAAGTCCTTCAATTCTTGCCTTTGTCATCTCCACAAACTGCCTTGAGACAAGTGCTAAAACAAAGCAGTTAGTAAAGTATTTAAATTGGAAGCAGTGCTTACGTACTTTTGCCGGATTTCGTGCATACCGCTGCTGCTATTAGCACCTAGAAAACATGAAAATGAGAGTATAATAAAACCTACGATATTCGGTAAAAACCAAGTTGCTCAGGCATTGCAAGCAATCCGGCTACTGGAAAATAAGTGTAGCTTACCATGATGAATAGTTTTCAAGTGTATGTCTTCCTAAAAATTAACAATATTCGGAGAATATTAATATTTTCAACATTACACCCTACTTAATACATGTAAGCAAGATGACGTTGACGTGTGCTGTTGTAAATGAAATGACGTTGCTATGAACCAGTGCGGCCAGTTTTAGCTATCAGATTGAATGTTACTACCACAGGAAATCACCAGTTTTGTGAGGTTAAAAAAACAATCTATTGCAGGGCCGGATTGAAAATATCTTAAAGAAATTAAAAATTAACAAATGAATAATTGACAAGCCCAAAATGCAGACTATTCAAATGACACTATGAACAGCCATTTTAAAAATTCATCTCTCTCTGGAATAAATATTTAGGACAATTGGGATTCACCTGCAAATTGGTTTTTTAATCAATTATATTTGAAATTCATACAAGAACACAGCTTGTGATAATAAATATTTATACAATATACAATTGATATCGTTCTGTAGTTGTACAAACCTTTTAAATAGCAACAATAACTCATTACAAATCTACAAGTTCTTAAACAATATTGGTAATCAATGAACATTCAGTTCACAGCATCAAACGAACTAACACAATTCAAAATTGACACATAACGCGTTAAAAATTGCAACTTGGTAAATCGAATCAAAGGACAGAATAAAAATATTGTATACAAACGGCGCTACTCCGAGCGCATTTTAATTCACCTATAATATATGCTGGCCGTCTCGTCAGTATTTATTTATTATGCCCAAGCACACGCAGCCGATGAGTAACTCAGATGATTAAACACATTAAGCTATTGATTTTGGTATATGATAATAATCGTTTAATGTAGATCAGTCATTACTCACCCTAGTCGCATAAAAGTAATCTGTTTGTTCGTGAGGTGTGGTTTATCAGTCTATCAGCAAAGATCATCGTCCTTCTTAGGCGAGGTATCTAAATAAATTTTAAGGCCACGCTCTTGTCGTCGTTCTCGTCGATGCTTTACTGAACTCTTATCGTATTTACCCAACCTCGTATTTTCGAAAGCTATTAAATCAATGCGCTCTTCTCTCGTCAGCTCTTTCAGCTGTTCTCGGCTATCCCTGTATCGCAAATATTTGGATTATTATCAAAACATAACAACACTAAATTTATAGAAATACATACCGGTAGTAGAACACAAAACCATCATGGTAGACGTTAATAGGATAGTTTGTTAGGTTTTCTTCTACAAAGTTCCAGTTTAGTTGATTGTGAATTTCCAATACGCTTCTATCACACGGGAAGGAAGCCATAACATGCGCAACTTCAAGGAATTCGACGGGAATATCCGCCAATTCACTGATGCGCGCCTTGAGCTCTTCCTTGGTCTTCAATTCCAAATTCACCTCTTGGAAAGTAGACAGCGAAAGCTTCGACGGGAACCACTGCCTTACAAAGACGGACAACTGCGAGCTGGTCCTCTCGGGCCCATTGATCCTTTGAATATACAACTCATAATTGACCATAGGCAAATCTCCAATCTTTTCATCATCCAGCAATATTCTAACCGGCACATCATGATACCTCTTTCGCAATCTGCATGAATTAAAGGGAATATCAATCATATGCTGCTTTTTGGCCTGTAGTAAAATCTCCTTCTTTGCTGCTGCGACTGTTTGATCATTAGAGACGACCCACTCGAACAAGAAGTTGACAGAGTCAGGATGCTCCAACTGTAAATGATACACTTTAAAGGCAACTTCATTCTCCTTCAACACCCGGCCAAGTTTCACGATCAAACGATCGTCATCTTTCAGCGATCCTAGTTTATCAGTAAGCGTTGACCATTCGTATTCTTGCGTGGGGTATGTGCGGTAAATTTTGAAGTACTCCATCGGCACGCCAACAAGAGGCTCAATGTTCTTCTTGAACATACCTAGTGTCATGCGTTTATCAACAAGCACCTTGGCACATCTAGTTTTGTCTTGTATCATGTACGCTGATTCAAGCAGTTGTGCTTTCATGTAGTAGCTAATTGGAGGACGGTCCGTCGGACTGGGCGTTTCATCATCCCAGTTCATTTCCTCCTGCGGCATTTGACAATTATACTCGGGGAAGTCTTCTTCTTGGCCTTCTGTAGGTGAAGCCATGTGCTGATCAGCGGGAGAATTGGAACTACTCGATAAAAGTCCTATATTATCACCTGTAAATTCAAATCAATTAATATTTTATTATCATTTTTATGGTTGTTTTGTTTACCAGGAGCATCACCAACAAGCGTACGATCGCTATCGCTTAAGCTGCTATCTTCGCTATTACTCTGATCCCCAAAGAGTTCACTATTGGGCCCTGGAAGCGGTGACACACGAAGGCTGGACTGATTACTCTCCCTGTCGCCAGCGCCAATTTCAATCCTATCTAAGCACTGATTCGCATCCAAAGACGGAATCGAAAGAATATCTAATGTGTTGCTATCCGTTTCCGGCATGGATACCTTTATCGAAATGACATGAACGAACCTATCTATGACCGATGCTAGTTTTGATTGCGCAAAAGGCTTATCTGAATAGTCCAAGTTGAGCGCGTTAGAAACGTAAATCTTGTAGCCGGTGCATTTGGTAGCAAATTTAAGTGTTGAATTTGGATCTTCGAGGTAACGTGGTGGATTGCTATAGGTCTCTTGCACAATGTGCGGCGCTTCCAAGTTGTACCGGATGGCGAGCGCTTTCTGTAAATCACGCACAGTGTCTCCGTGATTGACCCACGTAGTGAATGGCCCGTCGACCTCTTCGGTTTCTAATGTGATTATGTACGTTTTCATCATGACGCCATCCGGCTGATAGTCGTCAAACTCAGTACCGGGGTTTTTAATCTCTAACAAAAACTCTGTATAATTCGCCACGACTTCGGCAATTGGCGTGCTTGAATTCAAACTACATTCGATTGAACCACTGCTATAAGCAACCAGACGACAATCCTCAGATTTGACTATATCTTGCAATTTGAAATTGTAGCGCGCTTCTTCCACTGTGTCCCCAAGTGTAGTATCAAAGAACACCAAGACATTTTTGGTCTCCATGACTAATTTTTCAGGATGATAACAGTGTACTTTCACAACAGTTGAATCATTTTCTTCTTCCTTCTTCTTTCTCTCGGTTTCCTCTGACTCTCGCATATCTTTTAATAGCTGCTCAATGTGCGGCGGGAATTCTTCCACCTGGAGAGCACTACAATTGCGTTCCTTATCTATTTGCCTGTACATTAACATATATGCATTTGTACTCGATGAATAAGCGCCTGAATAGTAACCTCTTTGGGGACCACCTCCGTATGTTTTATGAATATCCTCATTTGTGACCTAAACAATAACCAAACATATAAGTAGTAAATTTGATTAATTATCATTCACCGCGTGACTTACGCTAGTGACGCTTTGATCATTAAAGCAAAACCACTGCTTCTTATCAAAATCTTTAATGTAAGCATAATAATGTCCACCGGATGCGCTGCCAGAATGAATCATAATACTAAACAACTCATACATGTAAGGCCCTTGTATTTCATGTAGTCGGTTTTTCTCGTTTTCCTGCTGATTCTCGGAACTAACGTCGATGCCTTCGTCGTCGTCCGCGCAGTTATCATCTTGGCCATTGGTGGTAGAAGACACATCGGTACCCTGGCAGCTTTCATCATCCAAGGCCGAACCGGAATCGGTAGTGCTGCAATCATCGCTTTTCACCGCACTCTCACGTTCTTCAATTGTTTCTTCACTAACTGTCCGTAGGTCAGACATAAAAGAGTTTAAATTCAACGTTTCAGGAAAAACAACCCTGCAAACACAATTGAAATTAATATTTGCACGCGTTCATATCATATGTTTATCTATTAACTTACTTATCATTTAGTTTGATTCGATGTCCACTAACTGAATTATAATCAAAATCAAATCGCTTTAGGTGCAACGTTAATAAATACGGAAACTTTGTAAATTTGAGGCCTTTGTGCGCATCGCATTTCTTATTGCATTTCTCACAGAAGTATTGGTTATTTCCGTCCAAAGTTTCGGGCTGAACGAACGCCCTAAGCGCTTCCTCGACGCTATTGTACGCCACGGTGCTGCCAAAAGGTCGCACAGGCAATGGGATATCTTGAAAAGTATCCTCGCGACTCTTTTCCGTTCGGCATTCAAGACACATAACATAATCCAACATTTTACCCTCATACAAATCATTAATAAGATTCGCCTGCTTCGTATCCTTAAACTTCTGCTCCAGGGCATCAAACATAACACGGCATAATTCTTGAATATCGTGCTGCTCCCATGCTTGCTGCACGTTCCAACCAAAACTCTGCGTCAGGCTCGTCGTTTCAACAGACGATTTTGACGAAGTTTGGAGATTTAGGAAAAGGCGCTGGAGTTGAAACGGAATTGAATTGTTGGGATTGTTGCCATCGAATTCCCAATTGTACAACGCGTTTCGAAACTCCGGCGTCATGTACAACACTTGCAGCAAACTATTCAGATAACACGTCATCGCCTGATTGACCAGCCCAACATAGTTTGGCACCGAAGACCATTCCTGCACAGACGTCGAAGGCGCTGTGTTTGCCGGTGGTGGCATAATTGCCATACGCGGAGGGTTTGGCGGATTCGGAGGATTGCTGATTACATTCGCGTGTTCAACGATGATTCGATGCGTGCTCACTGATTCATCGAAGCTGACCCCGGCATCTTTGAGCGTCATATTTGTGAAATCATTTAGTAGGATCTGTATCAAGCAACAAGTAAGTTTAACGATTAGACGCTGCTTGCTATTTTCGGAAAGATTGTTTTTCAAACACTTACGCCACCGCGTTCTATTGTCAGCGTAACAGGTGTGGTAAGCTCTAGTAGTTCTTCAACTTCTTTGATTAAAGTATCCACCGACGTGTTCGGATATAGAGATATAAAGCGAACAGTGTGATTCTTACAGGCACGATCTTCGATTGTGGCTGCTATCGACGGCTCATTCGGCGGCCAAACCATTTCCTACCAATCACAAAGCATAATTACATAAATAATTTTTATAATTACAACACAAGTGTTTATTTTTCTAATTGTGATATACGCATGTAAGTTGATATTCCAGACAACTACTCCATTTACTAATTATAACTTCACGTCGTAATTGCGCATAATTTTCGGCGCCGGACAAATATAGTACAACGTGCTCAAGCAATTCCAAATTAATTTACTGTAAATTACCTTGTTCATATTGCTCTATCATTCTGAGAAATAAAAAATAGGGACATACTCTACAGGCCATCAAACTCAAACAACCAATTGGACACTGTCCAGTGCATGTTAATGTAAATAGGTGATAGAAGATTATCTTCCTTAGAATGAATGCAAGATGTGAAAGAAACAAAAATCACATTGGCACACTGCCAAAGGAGTTATTAATAGATGCCAGTGTAAATTGAGCTGCTCAAATCATTTATTGAAATTCTTCTAGTCTCTTCTAAGCCTGCACAAAAATAGAGTTCATAGACACTCACCGTATCTGTCTTGAAGCAAATTTTTACGAATTCCACTTGCTACTGACCACCAAAAGCAGGTCTCCTGTCTCTACCTGGAACTGAAATAATTCATGTGTTAGTTGCGTTGGCGGAGCAATTGCAACGACAGTCATTTAATGCGGTCTGAGGCCTGCAGAAGCTACCTGCTTTTCTATTACTGCCTGCCTAGAAATCTCAGCATGCTATCGGAAAAAATCCGAATTATGGGAGGAATGTTTACATGAAGGGAACAACCAGCTTGTCATGTGTGAATACTGCTCACTTACTCACCCTTTAGCTCCCAACAATTAAATCTACAAGTTACCAACGCGCAAGCCACCGTTAACGGTGTGCTATCGCGTTATGTAAGTTCATCAGATCACCGAAACGACTATTGTTCAAAAATATTTTAATGAATATTAATTTGTCGCACATTCGTTTGCAAAAATGTTTACGTCACGCATTCTCGCGGCGGCAAAAAGACAGGTTATGCCGGAGAGATGTGCCTACACAAATTTATTTGCGCTAGCGGGCTACATGCTCGAATAATTGGCAAATTGTGTACTTCTGCGAGTGCGAATAAACTTTGAAAATTGCAAAACACTCACCCGGGATAAATTATGACATGTGCCAAACTTCAATCGACGCCATTTTCTGGTGTAGTTTGCTCGGGAAACCGCTGCTTGTTTCGATGGCGTTGCAATTTGCCGCCAACTTTTTCTTGAATTTTTTGAACACGTTTTCAAATTTTCCTTTACAGTATGCTAACTCAGTAAGCTCCTATCTAATTTATAACATAAACAAATTAATGATAAGAAATGGTACGCACCAAACAACTAAATAACAATATTAATTAATGCTATATCACAGTTATTACTTTAGTTAAACTGCATTTGCGCATTATGCACGCATAAGATTACGAGAGCAACGGCTGCTTCCTTATCTATTTGACCATCACAAGTGTATTATCTTTGTACAGTGAATAAAAGTAAACGTGATAAACATTATACACATGTTTAGTTTAACCAATTTAATTAAACGTGCTTTAATAGTTTAAAACAATGAACAAATCAAAAATTGCGCCTATTGTCCGCCACACAAAAACCAGCTTATATCGAATGGCACGAATGGAACACATTAACAAAGAAAACGCCTGCAGTAACAGCAATGCTGATATTTCATATACAATAAACAATAAAACAGTATTAATACCTTCATCAGTCATCGCGCCAAAGAAATCTGGTCGTGAGTCACTATCAAATAGGACCAACTTCAGCAACTTCAACATGAGCCCATCACATATTAAAGGCTTCAACTTACCGGGTGCTGCAAAGCGTAGATCACTTTCTGCACAATATCGGGAACAAAAGAAGAAAGAAGAAGCGCAACTGCTGCAAGTGCCACTAAAAAATAAACGTAGGTCCAAATCATACGAAATTTTGCCTGAAGAAATTAGGAAACCAATCAACAGAAGAATACTAGTGCCAAATCATTTAAAACAATTAAATAAAAGCAAGAAAAGACTTTCGGACATTACCGAGAAAACACCGAAAAGATTATCGCGTTACGAATCACACAACACTTTAAATCGTATGTAGTGTAGCAAATCATTTTTACCTAGTAGAAAATAGTATATTTTATTATTTTATTGTTCAACACACTAATTAAAATTATATTTTACTCTAATTTAACTTATTTCTACATTACAAGAATTACTAAGTCGACTGAATACATGATCATCATCAAAATAATACTCAACTAAACCTTAAGAACCTCTGTATGTAGTATATCCGAATGGGCTAAGCAAAAGTGGTATGTGAAATCGGTCTTGGACCGATGGAACGTCAAAAACAATCTGGAACAAATTACGTATTAAAACATTCAACAAATATAAATTTAAACTATTCTGTGATTGTTTTACCTCAACAAATGGATAGATTGTATCCTGTTTCTTTGCTTCGAAGTAGCGATCAACGTCATAATGCAACTTGTAGCGACCAGAAGAAAAATCCCTTCGCTCGATGAAATGCCAAAACCTCCCTTCAACGTTAGTGTTGCCTTCATTAATGTAGGTCCATCTGCCTTCAATAAGTTTGTACAAACTCACTTGAAGGCCTTGGATTGGCTGGCCTCTTGTGGTGTCCAAAACGTGAGTAGATATTGGTGATGAAGAATGTGACATTATCTTATGCATCAAGTCATATTGGGCAGACTGAAGAAATAAAATGTTTTAATTTTAATTACTTTTAAACTGACAATACAAGCACTTACTTTGCGTCCTTGCTCCTTTTTCATTCCAGTCACATGGATTGTTTCCTCTTCCTCCTCTTCATCTTCATTTTCTTGTTCCTGCTCTTCAGTTTCTTCAGTGAGGAAAGATTCTTCATCCATTTCTTGGTCTTCTTCTTGCTGGTCGTCGGCGTTTTCCGAAGTTGTGTTTTGAACCAAAATTTCGAAACTTTTCTGTTGATTTAACTGGAAATGTTGTCATTATTAAACTAAATCTTGTAAAACCAAGTAGTAAGTAACTAGATTATTAATAACTACCTTTCTTGCTTGATGTACTTGTGCTGCCTTTTGATGTCTCATAGTACAAGTATGCTTAAGCAAACTTAGTCTATGTGCATGTAAAGTTTTTTGGCAATAAATGCAAAATGCTCTTGTGGCTTCCCCTGGAACACCACGTAACCAGCCTGCAATAAACATAAAATAAAGTGTAAAAAGTAGGTGTAAAATTTTTTATCTATTGGTGTCATCAAATTTAAATTCGTACCTTTGAAATCGGGCATGTTCTCCCACGCCGTGCGATACGTTTGTTTGTAATATTTACTTTTCGGCCCAGTGTGGGTAAGGGTCGTAATTTCATGACCGCTATGCGAAGACCCCTCGATGATTTCCTGCGTGTGTACCACAGCCAACTGCCCGCTTTGAATAGAATTCTGGAAAGCCTCTTCATAACCGCCAGCTATGATGACTGTTTCATGCTCATTTTCATCCGTATCGTTTTCCATTGCGGCGATCTTAAGTCTTGTTTTTAACCGCCAGAAGCCTTTAGCACCAGAACCACCAGAAATTGAAAATTTCACGAACCAATGTCACTAAAATGCCGTGACAAAATGGCGGAGGAATACTGGAGGCTTTTGTTTTGCAACTGTGGCTAGTCTCACCCTAGCAGCGCAGGCAACTAACTGCGCATGCTCACCTTTGTTCGTACAATTTCGTTTTTTTCATTTGTTAGTAGATTATTTCAAATAGCATGTTGGCTAAATGCGCAATTAATATTAGAAATTACAAAATACAATAATATAATAAATATAAAATATATCTACAATTTATTTAATATATTCTGGTAAAATATTTAGAACTAATATATTTAAAATTGGTTGTGACCATTAACAAATATTAATAATTAAATAGCCATAAAAATATTATTCTAAATAAACAATTGTTATGTTTAAATGGTATACAAATTAGTTTGTTATTTCTTCTTGGCCAACACTCAAGTATCTTTATATTTTTAAGTTTTCTCATCATGCGTAGGCAATTTTTTTGACAGTCATAACAAACGCCTTGTATTTTCCTTCAGATCGCTTTAGATGTGTGAGTTGCGCCTTGGGTTTTAAGCGCTTACACGTTTTGTATAATAAAATAAACTTAAACTAAGTAAAATGAGTGAAAGTGCAGGAAATTGGTGTCTCATTGAAAGCGACCCTGGAGTTTTCACCGAACTAATCAAAGAATTCGGTAATTAAAAACGTAAAAACTTGCGCATCATCGTCTTATAACCTCAAAATTTTACCCTTGCAGGTGTACAAGGAACACAAGTTGAAGAACTGTGGAGCTTAGATGCCGAAAACTTTGATAAACTGAAGTAAATCTCAAGGATAATCTTTATCAACTGATTCTATATTAATCATTTTCTTTCCAGACCTGTACATGGACTGATTTTCCTATTCAAATGGACTAAAGAGGATGAACCAAGTGGCTCTATTGTGGAGGATAATAGACTGGAAAAGATATTTTTCGCCCGCCAAGTGATTGAAAATGCCTGTGCTACACAAGCCATATTGAGTGTTTTAATGAATCTGAATCATCCGGATGTCAAATTAGGTCAGACTCTCAAAGAACTCAAAGAGTTCTGCTCTGGTTTTGATCCAAATATGAAAGGATTAACTATTAGTAACTCAGAAAAAATTAGAACTGTTCACAACTCATTTGCCAGGCAGCAATTGTTTGAATTTGATCCATCACTCAGCAGTAAAAGTGAAGATGTATTCCATTTTGTTAGTTATGTGCCCATTGATGGTAGATTATATGAATTAGATGGTTTAAAATCAGGGCCAATTGATTTAGGTGCATTGCCTGCAGATACTGATTGGACTGATTTTGTTAGGCCTATTATAGAAAAGAGAATGCTTAAGTATAGTGAAGGTGAGATTCATTTCAACTTGATGGCGATAGTCTCCGATCGCATTCTGCAGTATGAGAAACAAATGCAAGCCATCCGGAAGCAAATGGAAGACAACGGTATGGAAACGGATGCGCAACAGTCAGAACTCGCAAAATTGAAATATTTAATCGAAGAAGAGGAGAATAAACGACGACAGTATCGAACCGAAAATATCCGTCGTAAGCATAACTATCTGCCGTTAATAATCGAAATACTAAAGCTGCTGGCAAAGGAAGGCAAACTAATGCCATTATATGAAAAGGCAAAGGAGTTGTCGATCAAAAAGAAGCAGAAAACTAAATAACGATATTGTAAGTGTCACATTTTCATTTCAATACTTATATAAAAATAAAGGAAGTCGTAAAATTGGCAAGAATTCACAATTATTCACAAAACATAAGATTTATTTAAAAATATGCCATTCTGATATACGAATTAATTGCATTAGAAAACATTGTTTCAGTCAATATATAGCTGACCGTCTATAAAACTTGCACGTTTTAATTCTGAGCGGTCTTTCAAAACGTCCCGCCTGTACAATATCAATTGAGCTGGAAAAGTATTAATTTAATAGATTTTCCTTCAGTTAAATTAAATTTTACGTACCTCTAAAGTCTTCTAGAAGTCTGTTAGCATATTCGCCAACTTGCATCATATTCCTCATTATTTTACTGAGCGCCAGCGACGTCCATCCATCCATAAGCGGAACAAAGTCTTGATATTTTATATGATACATTGTTTTATATTCGGGGTTTGCAAGAATCCTAAAAGTAACATTTTACACTCAGTTTTTAAAGGTTTAAATCATTGAATACTCACAAATCGATTAATTGCGCTTTGACCTCCGCCATTTGCCTTGTTCCTGTGACAAAGAGCTTTGGATGCAGGCTCAGTAACCAGTGATGTTTAATTCGGATAGGTCTTAGCTGTATTTCCTCGCCAATTTTATTAAACACACTAAGCGGTATTTGTGCGTACTTTAATTCGTTGATGTCTTTGCACTCCATTTCTTTCATCATTTTTTGAACTATTAAATTGCTTTCTCTATGACTTATCTTATCGACTTTGAAATCGTGCGTTCCTTGATCCCGCAACCAAATGTAGCGCTTTTCCACCGAAAGTCCATCTCGATTTAATTCTTTTCCAAGGCGTGCGAATATATGCCGGGAATCTTTACTGGTTTCAAGTGTTTCAACAATTAAATCGTCTTCTTCTTGTGAAAATCTAAAGAAATAAAAATAATAAACATTACAATATAGTGCGATTTGCTACAACATTAACAAAACTTACTTTCCACGTTTTACAGTCGAATATATAGTTTTGAAGCGACTAAATACACTGTGCAGCGTTCTGTTGGGCAAACCTTGCGCCAAGAATTGCGCAAACTTCTTGCCTTCTTCACGCGGTAATAAACGCTTGCCATTCGCGTCTTTTACGTTCAAATTCATGAACAATTCTGGGTTAGCTGGCATATCGTGTTTCTATAAGATTTTACATTTATAATTCATCTAAAGAGATAATAATTATAATTACCTACCCGATAAAATTTCGTCCAGTTATTCATTACTAACTCTGTTTCTTCAGGACTATATACGCCCTTTTTAACTGGCACACCGAGAGCAGCTATTTCCTCATACATTGCCGGGGTCGGTACTTTCATAACAAATGTTTCAATGCGGTGGAGTTCAGGAATTTCAAATGAACTTTCAACCACCAAATATTTCAATAACTGAAAACAATACAAGTACAATAGAAAATTATTCAACAATGGGAAGTGTTTGATAAAATTTTACCTGCAAATCATCATCACCGATTTTATTATAAAGGCGGCTCTGTTTCTCAATTTGTTCTTTAAGTTTGGATTGTGCATTTGCTTGGTATTTCCGATCTGTTTTCCTAATTGTTGAAGTTTCCCTAATACTAGACGCTTCATAATATTCCTCTTTTATTTTGAAATCATCACTTTCAATTAATGTCTTCATCAGGTCATCCAAAGCACCATTGCATTCCCCGTCAAATTCAATTATTGGTGCTTTACTTGAAGATGTTTCTTTTGTTTTTATCGGATTTTTGTTAGCATTGATATTTTGCTCGTTATTGGATGAGTTAAATATGGAATTTGTTTCCTTGGTGGTGTTTCTGTTTTCTTGGGAGCTATCTGAGTCTGAGGATGATGCTATCCTTGCAGCTGATACTATTCGCTTCTTTTTTGATTTCCTATCAGGACTTTTTACCATCTTTTTGTTGGCGATTGATCCAGTTTTATTCAGATTTGATTCAGTCTCAATTTGCTTGGTTGCCTTCTTCGGAACTTTTGCAGATTCATCGTTTTTTCTGGGATTTCACAATTATTTAAATGTTTGAATGTAGTATTATCATCAACAGCATTTGAATTAAGCGAGAGTGATGGCTGTAATTTGTTTTTGGATTCAGGTGATTTCTGCTTTGCTTTCTTCCTTGGAGTTTCATTATCTGAAAAAGCTGGAGAACCTAGTTTTCTTTTCTTTTTATTTGAGTTGTTGGTGTTTTCAAGATGTGCTGATTCGGCTTCAACTTTTTGATGCGATGTTTTGTCTTTTTTCCTTGGAGTCACTTGATCATCAACAGTTTCAGGCTGCTCCTTCTTAGTTTTCTTTGAGCTCTTTTTGTAAACATTTTCTTTGTTGATGTCTTCATCAGATGAGGATGATGTTTCTATTTGCGCTTTAGATAGAATCTTTTTCTTTTTTCTTTTCTTCTCTTGATCCCCATCAGATGTAGATACATTTGATTTTCTCTTCTTCTTTTTAGATTTTTTCGTGTTTTCAAGAAGAGTTGACTCTGTCTCAAATCCTGGATGTGAATTTTTCTCTTTTTTTCTTGAAGGCACTTGATCCTCATTAACACTTGTTAATGGAAAATCCGCATTTGCATCTGCCGCAGATTCTTTAACTTTATGTTTCTTTTTACTTTTCTTAGAACTCTTCCCATTAACAATTTCTTTCTTAATTTCTTCATCAGAGGAAGATGATGTCTCTATTTGCGCTTTAGATAGAATCTTCTTTTTTCTTTTCTTATCTGGATTTGCATCAGATGTGGATTCACTTGATTTTCTTTTCTTCTTTTTAGATTTTTTGGTGCTTTCAAGAAGAGTTGATTCGGGCTCAACTTCTTTGTGCGCCTTTTTACTTTTTTCTTTAAAGTTACTTCTTCATTGTTTACGGTTTCAATTTTGGAATTGTTTAGTTTTCGCTCCAGCTTTGGTAAATTCAACAGATAAAATATATCTGCATCTAATAGAGTTGTTTTACCGTGATCATTGCTCATACATTTCTTTGGACTCACATCAGTTGCTTCTTTTTTGTTTTCATCATCGGACGAAGACGACGTCTCTATCCAAGCTTTCGATAGATATTTTTGTTTTTTACCAGGGCTATCAGATTTTTTACTTTTTTTGCGATTACTATCAACACTTCCATTCAAATGAGTTTTCTTTTTTGATTTTCCATTTTTATTCGGTTTCAAATTATTTAAATTGGACAAATTTTTGAAGTCATCATCATTTTCTTGATTAAAATCCACTTCTTTAGTTTTCTTCTTAGATTTTTTCTTTTTGTCTATTTTCGGCACGCTTTTATTATCAGTAATATCCAAACTATTATTTGTACATGCTTCCTGGTGCTCTAACAATTCAACAGAATTGAATTTCTGAATATTGTCATCTTTATTTTTAAATGTTGGTACAAAGTCCAGTACCTCTTTCTTTCCAGGTGATACTGAACTATTTTTCTTCTCAATTAAACTTAATTTAGATTTTGCTGGGCTTTCTGGAGTCAACACACTATTATTATTTGCTGTGTTATTCAAATTTTTCTGAGGCAATTTGTTGTCATTAAAACTACTAGAGATAGAATCTAAAATATCTTGTACATCCAGCTCTGAAAAACAACTTGATATATTTAAATTGTTCTCCTTGTGTAACTCTTTCTTTGATTCTTGATTAAAAGAATTATCAGGAACTATATCATCCAAATGAGACCTCATTAGTTGTAATTTAGTTGTATCCACACTAAATGTTGATTGTGCAGATTCTCCCTGAGACATGCAATCAAATTTTCTCTGACTAATCCCAGCTTCAGAATCCCTAAACTGTGAAAACAATTGATTTGTAGTGTGATATACTGATTCATGAACAGATTCAGGCTCCAAAAATGAATTGAAAAGTATGCTAGATGTATCTTTCTGCATTTTTCTTGTTTCCTTTTTAGATATATCTGAATCATCTTTTAACTTCTTTTGGGTTTTGGATGTGTTCCTGTCACTTTCAATTGTTGTGTCTTTTAAATCACAATCATCTTTTTCTTTCTTCTTCTTTTTCTTCTTTTTGTGTGATTCTGTTAAATCCTTATCTAACTTATGTTTCTTTGACTTTTTATTCTGCTTGACACTCTTATCAAGTGAAGGTTGTTCTTTCTGTGATTGTGTTGAGAATACAAAATCATTGTAGCCATCAGAAGTTCTTATTTGTTCAGGTACTGTTATAAGCAGGGGACTTTTATTTAGTCCTGATATGATACAATTTATATCCAATGGGTTGCTTTTTGGTGTTTTTGATGTTGGCACTTCTTTATTATTTTCTTCTGCTTGTGAACGTATGTAAAAATTATCCTCTACGCCACTAATATCTGGTGAAGAATCCCAATTCATTTTAAGAACAATTATTTATTAGCTACTACTAGGCTAATCGTAAATTGTTTTCTTGAATCATTAAAAACAAGCGCAACGTGAGCCACATTCAGAGGCTCGGCGGTTCTTTAAGGTTATATGTACATATTTAAAATTTGAACTTTTGCCTGCGGCCAACGATCAGTAGATTCAAGAAATGTAATGGATATGATTTGCAGGAAAATAAAACACATAGATGCTTACATATTTTAACCTTCATTGTTTCATTTGTACTGCAAGTTTGTAATTCTATGTTCAATATCAAATCACAAAAAAATCTTGAATAATTTCATTCATTGATAGTCCAACAATAACATAATGATTCAGTAGCAAATATAACAAGTATCAATATTCAATATTTAGTACACAAGTAAAAAAACAACAAACATATGTACATCATAAGAATTAAATAAGTTAGTAAACATGGTATTTAGGTAGTTGCAAAGTTTAAAGAAAATGTTTGCAGGCCTTTCATTCATTCCCTGCAGGCTTGCTCATGGTCCTCTGGCAGATTAACATAAAACTGCTAAAATAATAACTATTGATATCTTCATAATAAACAAAACATAATATATCAGTTAATTATATAAATTTTCATGAATATGCAAAAAAAGTTAATGATTGGTTGGTTGTCATAAGTCAATGATGTGAGTGAGTAAATAATTCTAATTTGATGATGTTATGGCCAGCAATTTGATAATATAACAACAGATGAGTGTTATCCATTTTCACTCTCACATAACAGTGGACCAAACAGGCAGTTGCCAACCCCACTGTAACATATCAGCAGAAGAGTCACTAGAAACACTAAGCTGCAGATTGTGCAGGGTTTTCGCTCCAGGAAGAATCCAATTAAATATAGAACCATGAACATAACATGTGTATGCACCATGGCTGGATTTATTGGCTTTGGTATTAAAAGGACTGGAATGAGCCATTGTAGACAATACATTATTCTAATTTCTGCAAGGAAAATCAATATTAACAGAATTAAATTAACGCGGCAATGAATCAGTTTTCCTACCGTTTTCAGTGGATGTTGTATTTTTCAACCATTGTAACTTTGACGTTTCTGCGCTACTGTGACAGATTACTGATATGAAGATGTGACGCCACTGAAATGTATTTTTACTGGAATCAGGAACGTTGAATGCGGTTGTTTGTTTTCAGTTGGGCAGGAAAAACATTTGCCATAATATTACATAATATTTACACGGCACATTGTGTTAATAATTTTTTTAATCATATAAACTTAAAAATCTAATCGTCTTCCCACAAATGACATGGTTGCTACTGTTTTATGTGAAACATACGTTTGTCCTTGTTTAACTAATGCTGTGGTATAGCCAGTCCAACAGGGTTTGCGATTGCGCATCATCAGGCAGCCACGCATGCAACAGACTTTTTAAAAATGAAAAGAAGAAATTAGTCACATAAATGTACATCTTAAGATTATGCAACAAATCCTAAAAAAACGTTGACATCAAATCTGATTATCCAGCTTGCATCAAATTGCGCCACTTGCCTACATGCCTATGTGAAATAGATATTACTTTTGAGTCACATGGGACCTGTTGACCAATCAGAGACTGAGTTGATTCAACGGCATTCGTAGGTTATTCTCCTCCGAAACATAAAAACGTGCATTTCGTGTTTTATTCCAAGACAAGACCGACTTGATATTCTTTGGCAGACAAGAACAACTCTAAATATCTAGTAAAAATGGCTCTTCGCGTTCAATTTGAAAATAACAACGAGGTGGGTGTATTCTCAAAGTTAACAAATGCCTATTGCCTGGTTAGCATTGGTGGCTCAGAAAATTTCTACAGGTAAGTTATTGCACAATGTTGGTTCTTCCATTTTCATTGGTTTAACTTATTTGATGTTAATTACAGTACATTTGAGGGTGAATTAAGCGAGACAATTCCGGTGGTTCATACATCTTTGGCTGGCTGCAGAATAATTGGAAGAATGTGTATAGGAAACAAACATGGTTTACTGGTACCTAACTCTACATTTGATACTGAATTACAACACATTAGAAATGCACTACCAGAAAGTGTAAAGGTACAGAGAATTGAAGAAAGGCTATCAGCTCTTGGCAATGTGATTGCCTGCAATGATTATGTGGCTTTGGTGCATCCAGATTTGGATAGAGAAACAGAAGAAATTATTTCTGATGTTTTAAAAGTTGAGGTATTCAGACAAACAGTAGCAAGTAATGTGCTTGTTGGATCATATTGTGTGCTCAGCAACCAGGGAGGTCTGGTTCACCCCAACACAACAATTGCTGATCAAGAGGAACTTTCCAGTTTGCTTCAAGTTCCTTTAGTTGTAAGTTATTGTAAATTTCCATTTATATTCAGTTTTATTAATTCTATATTTTTTATTAATTGTGATAGGCTGGAACTGTAAATAGGGGTAGTGAAGTTGTTTCTGCTGGAATGGTAGTGAATGATTGGTGTGCATTTGCTGGTATGGACACTACTTCAACAGAACTGACAGTTATTGAATCAATATTTAAACTCAGTGAGAATGTACCTTCTGCAATCACTTCCTCTATGAGGGCTAGTTTAATTGAAAGGTATTTTTTCTTGCTATTAATTTAATATTATTTCTTACAATTAGTTGTACAATGGTGCTGTACATGTACAAATTTCAAAAGTTTTATAATATTTATTCTAATATGACTCAAAGGCGACTTCTGTGCGGATAATCGTTTCAGAGTTATTTAGAATTAATTAATATTATTGTGATTAATTATTAGCTGATTACTGCTTAATTTTATTTTATTTTTTAAATGTATTATTTGCAACTTAATTACTATCTGTTTTCTTATAGTATGTCGTAATCTGAGCAACTTCCGCCACCCACATACCGCCGCAACAACAAAATATGATGATTAAAATAATAAACATATGAAAATACGACCGGCGCTGGAATAAGTTGAAGCTAATCTAATCAAATTTCCTACCCGCTGGTTGCGCGAGCAGCTGCTAGATGTAGTACTGGTGGAAAATCAATAATTTCAAGCATGTGCAAACCTAAGAACGCCAGTCTGCCACTTCACTGCAACATATGTTTACAATGTTTTGCTATCTTACTGTTTGGTATTCCAAATAAAAAGTACTTTTCGATTATCATTTGTTTAGTTGTAAGTCCGTTTCCTTCCGCGAGTGTGATTTTTAATTGTAGCTGAACATGGTCGGCGCGTGATTAACCGCAACCGTTGTGTATTTAGTGCTAGCGACGTCGGCGTACTTTAACGTAGTACAAACATAATGGCAACATATCCAGGAATGAATCTTTCGGGCGAAATACGCGAGAGTATTTCGCTCGATGACGACGATCTCAGCGACGTCGAAGATGAAGTTTTCATACGTGATGGGAAAGCGAGATTTAAAGTAGGTGTTTGAATGAGTGTTTAATAGTTTACGGTTTTCACTTGTTGATTTTTCTTCTGTTATAGTACTCGGAAGATATCGGGTTGAAGAGGCCTTTAATGGCTCCGCGTAGGAAACTGACGAAACCCGACTTTAAAAGTAGATTACGAAATCGTCCCCTTGCAGGCCTTATTGCAAACCATGCTGTTACTTCTGCGGTGGTCTTCTAGTCTTATTGGGTAAACAATTATTTTTACTAACAGCAATAAACTGTATTTTATTGTTTTTTTTATATTGTTTAATGTAATTGTTGCAGGTCTTAGTGTGTTATTAGTAATAATAGTTTCAATGTTTCCATTACCGATTGACAAGATGAAGAATTGGATCGTGACAAAATCAAAAGAGAACGCGACTGATGTCCTGTTGCCTTGCAGCGAATTGAAGGTGACCAATGTGTGGACATTAACTTTGCCCAAATTAACATCGGAGTCATCAATAAGAACAGTCGACATTAACAAAGACGGCATCGATGATGTGATATTTGGTTTTGGGACAGGTGATAGCTCGTCGTTACCCGACGAAATCTTTTGTCCGATGTTTATGAACGTAGCTAGTCCATGTGGTGGAGGAGTGATAGCTTTAAACGGTCTTAACGGGAGCGTAATTTGGAAGAAACACTTACCCTATCTTGTGTATACTGTATTCTGTTCAAACGATTTAAATGGAGATGATATTAATGATTGTATTGTCACTGGAAACAAAGGCGTAAGACTTGTATTAAATTTTTGAAATGAATTAATATAAATATCATATTTATTTGTAGATGTTACTTACAATTAGTGCAAAGGATGGTACCACAATCTGGGATTGTAACAATGCCGATAAAGGTATTTACGCTGGTAATTTTATACCCGATCAAGATAATGACGACATTGCAGACATTTTGGTAGCTCATACTGATCAAAAAGGTAAACTTTTAGATGGATTTGGTGCAAGGTTAATTCAGTTACTTTATATTTTCCAGTTGATAGTGACTCAGCAGGACATTTAATTTTAATTTCCGGAAAGTCTGGAATAGAAATTAAGCGAGTTTCAACACCAAACAATGTGGAAACATACTATATACCTCAACTCTTGCCTCAGAAAGATGGACAATATTTAGTATTGCTCGGAACCGGAAGCCCAAGTTCGCGAGGGAATTTAACAACTATTTCGTTGGCAAATTTGTTAAATGGGACGGCGGTAAGTTTTCCTCATCTATTTGATGCTCTCATTAACTAATGTGTATATGAACCGGCAGATATTTAATACAATATTTGAACATAAAGCTAGTGGTGTAATATCACCTTCCATATTGGTTGATATCACCGGCGATGGCCAACTAGACATAATTTCAGCTTTGTTCAATACTACAATTGTTGCGATCAACGGCGCTACGTTCAAACAAATCTGGAATGTAACAGTCAACAATTCAGAAACCTTGAGCATACCAACACCTGGCTTTTTCAACGACGATAACGTCACCGATTTTCTAGTTAAATATCAAACTGGTCCTGGTTTTCCAGTCTATTATTATAGCCAGACATTTGTTATTAATGGGGCTAATGGAGAGATAATTAACGCTTCCTACGTGGAGGATAGCGTTGGTTCTCAAATGGGAGGACTCACATTGAGCACCGAAAAGCATGGACATGATTTCTTTCTCTACTGGACCGCTGATTGTAAGAATTTTGCGGGCCGAAAAGATAAATTTGAATTTGTGAACGACGCTACATTGGGACAGTTGAATTATGCAGATTTATGTCGATTACGATTTAACTCAACTAAAGTTACTAAACTTTACGCACTCAATCAGTATGATCAACCGCCTGGAATGGAGATTTATTCTTCGGATAGAATGGTAAGCATTGAATACAATAACACAAAAACTCCTCTGGATGAAGCAATGGAATACTTAAAACAACATCCTGAAGTGCAAGTTCAGAAAGTAGAGGAGTATGAAGACAAGCAGTCTTTTAGACCGAATATGCAGCAAAATAAGGACAAGCCATCTTCGTTTAGACATAAATCTGATGATTTGGGTTTGTTGAAGAGCTATGCTAAACCACCGAACAGGCAAAAACCGAATCAGGTAACATTTATCAGTAATTTCTATTAAACAATTTTTATAACGTAGTGAAAAGTTACAGCCAACACCCGAGAAGTATGAAGATTATGACCAAATTCCAGAGCCCTGGCAAAAGATGAATTATCCTATGGGCTTGCAACAACCATCTGTACCTGATGATGACGAGACGTATCCTTATGATGATGATGTGCCGCGGATGTACAATGATAATAAGAATATGTTTGATTTAAATAATCGTGATACCAGAGGGGATTTAACAAGTGCTACATTAAAAAAAGATCTTGCTAAAAGTGGTATTTACGGCCATAAGAATATCCAACAATCTCGTACCCGATTGATGAACGATTTAAACAGCCTTCCTACAGAAATCTTAAAGGACACGTATTTTAAAAACTTAGAGCGGCAGTTAAGAAAATCTCGCTTTGAACAACGCGACCTCAAATCTCACCATGATAAGATTAGGGACAACGAAGAAATCAGGAGGGTGGTTGAGGAAGAAAAGAGACGAGCACTGAACGTATCTGTAAATCTTTGGGACTTGGAAACAGAGAAAGAAATGGAGGATCGTAAACATGGATATGCACGTGGAAAGCGAGACGATGGGAGTAATATTACTGAGACTGGTGTGCCGCTTATTAGTTCTATTGGTAATATCTACTTAATCAACACTTTCATTATTATTTAATTTATTTTGTTCATTTTTAGGAACATTGGTGAAAACTTTGGACAGCACCTTGAATGCAATTGATTTAATTTTTCTTACGTATTGGGTTCCGTCAAAAGCAGTTCCAGAATTGTTAATCCAGAAAGATCTTGATTGCATTAATAATAAATTGAAAAATACTAAGAGTTCTAAAGGTAGGGACTGCCATTCTAATAGATTTTGATTAAAACATATGCTGTTACTGTTTTTAGAAGAAATTGTGAATGTAGATCAGGAAGATTTGAAACTTCAATACCAAAAAGAGTGTTTGAATGAACGGGGCGCTTACCAATCGTTTATGTCAGATCAGAAAACGGAGCAGCGTGCAAAGTTTAACATTCCATATAATAATGAAATATCCAGAGTCAGTTTGGGACAACTAACTGTGTATCGCATACGGATTGAATGTGTGCGATGTAATTTAAAGCAGAAGGGTGAACGCTGTGCCAAATTTCTCAACCCAGGAAGTACAAATAACGTCTGGTCCGCATATTTAAATCGACAAGGAGATGGTGTGTTTAGGACATTATAATTTGTTATTAATGTTTACCTTAATGAGGACAATCTGTAAGATACCATGTACAGCGTGACGTGAAGCTACTGAATTATGTATTATTGCTACATAAAAATTAAATTCATTTAAAATATAAAATATAAATATATTTCTTTGCAGTAATACTAAAAATCTACTACCCGTTTTTTCTATCATTTTAGTTTATGATGAAACAGCAACTTTACCTCATTTTTGCAATAAGAAATTAGAATTAGATAGATAAATCAAATTTTAAATTTGCATTATTTTTAATAATCTAAACTGCGGGACTACTAACTAACTAACTAATACAGATTATACATAGATGGCACAAGTATGAACTAAAAGTATTAAAATGCATTTGTATTGTTTATTTCTATATTTATCAGCAAACGTGGGCATTCAGCACAAGAATTGTGTTTATTTTGACAACAACTTTCATTTTCTTATCGCATTCGCCGGGTGGATTGCAACGCATGAGATTCTCTCACGCCGCATGTTGGCGCATCTTGTTTTGATCGCAGGTCACGTGTCGCGCTCAAGGTCGCGTGTCATCGACACACTGCACTGGCTTCGCGCATCTATTCCTTTCTTATCATAAACTGTCGCATTGTTGCTTACACAGTTTGCAGCCAGTTTCGTGCTGGTTTCTGGTTGATCCAGGCGTACTTAACGCGACTCATATTGTATGTCCGGACATCTAGTTTTCAAATTCGCATTATATTCGATCATCAATCGACTATAGTAATGTTATGTACTGTTTGCGCGTATATTGTCCGTAAATGCCGGTTAAGTGTATCGCCCCCATGTTGATTTGATATTCATCACTAGGATGTCCCATCGTGCTGGTGTAAGTATCTTTTAACTAAACAGGACAGATTGTTTGTCTTTCTCCGCTGTGTGATTATAATATTACTAAATTTTATGAAAGAGAAATTTTCGTAGGTTAAGGATATGCCATTCGATCCTCTTTATCTCTATTAGTTTAGAAGATATCGCTAAAAACATATTTCGATACAATGAGAAGACCCCCCTTTTGCATAATTTTTTTTTAAAACCCTATTTTTAAAATTGACTGTAGCTCTAATTAAACTAGTCTATCTTAAAGAGAAATTTTCGTAGGTTAAGGATATGCCATTCGATCCTCTTTATCTCTATTAGTTTAGAAGATATCGCTAAAAACATATTTCGATACAATGAGAAGACCCCCTCTTTGCATAATTTTTTTAAAACCCTATTTTTAAAATTGACTGTAGCTCTAATTAAACTAGTCTATCTTAAAGAGAAATTTTCGTAGGTTAAGGATATGCCATTCGATCCTCTTTATCTCTATTAGTTTAGAAGATATCGCTAAAAACATATTTCGATACAATGAGAAGACCCCCTCTTTGCATAATTTTTTTAAAACCCTATTTTTAAAATTGACTGTAGCTCTAATTAAACTAGTCTATCTTAAAGAGAAATTTTCGTAGGTTAAGGATATGCCATTCGATCCTCTTTATCTCTATTAGTTTAGAAGATATCGCTAAAAACATATTTCGATACAATGAGAAGACCCCCTCTTTGCATAATTTTTTTAAAACCCTATTTTTAAAATTGACTGTAGCTCTAATTAAACTAGTCTATCTTAAAGAGAAATTTTCGTAGGTTAAGGATATGCCATTCGATCCTCTTTATCTCTATTAGTTTAGAAGATATCGCTAAAAACATATTTCGATACAATGAGAAGACCCCCTCTTTGCATAATTTTTTTAAAACCCTATTTTTAAAATTGACTGTAGCTCTAATTAAACTAGTCTATCTTAAAGAGAAATTTTCGTAGGTTAAGGATATGCCATTCGATCCTCTTTATCTCTATTAGTTTAGAAGATATCGCTAAAAACATATTTCGATACAATGAGAAGACCCCCCTCTTTGCATAATTTTTTTAAAACCCTATTTTTAAAATTGACTGTAGCTCTAATTAAACTAGTCTATCTTAAAGAGAAATTTTCGTAGGTTAAGGATATGCCATTCGATCCTCTTTATCTCTATTAGTTTAGAAGATATCGCTAAAAACATATTTCGATACAATGAGAAGACCCCCCTCTTTGCATAATTTTTTTAAAACCCTATTTTTTAAAATTGACTGTAGCTCTAATTAAACTAGTCTATCTTAAAGAGAAATTTTCGTAGGTTAAGGATATGCCATTCGATCCTCTTTATCTCTATTAGTTTAGAAGATATCGCTAAAAACATATTTCGATACAATGAGAAGACCCCCTCTTTGCATAATTTTTTTAAAACCCTATTTTTAAAATTGAAAATTGACTGTAGCTCTAATTAAACTAGTCTATCTTAAAGAGAAATTTTCGTAGGTTAAGGATATGCCATTCGATCCTCTTTATCTCTATTAGTTTAGAAGATATCGCTAAAAACATATTTCGATACAATGAGAAGACCCCCCTCTTTGCATAATTTTTTTAAAACCCTATTTTTTAAAATTGACTGTAGCTCTAATTAAACTAGTCTATCTTAAAGAGAAATTTTCGTAGGTTAAGGATATGCCATTCGATCCTCTTTATCTCTATTAGTTTAGAAGATATCGCTAAAAACATATTTCGATACAATGAGAAGACCCCCCTCTTTGCATAATTTTTTTAAAACCCTATTTTTTAAAATTGACTGTAGCTCTAATTAAACTAGTCTATCTTAAAGAGAAATTTTCGTAGGTTAAGGATATGCCATTCGATCCTCTTTATCTCTATTAGTTTAGAAGATATCGCTAAAAACATATTTCGATACAATGAGAAGACCCCCTCTTTGCATAATTTTTTTAAAACCCTATTTTTAAAATTGACTGTAGCTCTAATTAAACTAGTCTATCTTAAAGAGAAATTTTCGTAGGTTAAGGATATGCCATTCGATCCTCTTTATCTCTATTAGTTTAGAAGATATCGCTAAAAACATATTTCGATACAATGAGAAGACCCCCCTCTTTGCATAATTTTTTTAAAACCCTATTTTTAAAATTGACTGTAGCTCTAATTAAACTAGTCTATCTTAAAGAGAAATTTTCGTAGGTTAAGGATATGCCATTCGATCCTCTTTATCTCTATTAGTTTAGAAGATATCGCTAAAAACATATTTCGATACAATGAGAAGACCCCCTCTTTGCATAATTTTTTTAAAACCCTATTTTTAAAATTGACTGTAGCTCTAATTAAACTAGTCTATCTTAAAGAGAAATTTTCGTAGGTTAAGGATATGCCATTCGATCCTCTTTATCTCTATTAGTTTAGAAGATATCGCTAAAAACATATTTCGATACAATGAGAAGACCCCCTCTTTGCATAATTTTTTTAAAACCCTATTTTTAAAATTGACTGTAGCTCTAATTAAACTAGTCTATCTTAAAGAGAAATTTTCGTAGGTTAAGGATATGCCATTCGATCCTCTTTATCTCTATTAGTTTAGAAGATATCGCTAAAAACATATTTCGATACAATGAGAAGACCCCCCTCTTTGCATAATTTTTTTAAAACCCTATTTTTAAAATTGACTGTAGCTCTAATTAAACTAGTCTATCTTAAAGAGAAATTTTCGTAGGTTAAGGATATGCCATTCGATCCTCTTTATCTCTATTAGTTTAGAAGATATCGCTAAAAACATATTTCGATACAATGAGAAGACCCCCCTCTTTGCATAATTTTTTTAAAACCCTATTTTTTAAAATTGACTGTAGCTCTAATTAAACTAGTCTATCTTAAAGAGAAATTTTCGTAGGTTAAGGATATGCCATTCGATCCTCTTTATCTCTATTAGTTTAGAAGATATCGCTAAAAACATATTTCGATACAATGAGAAGACCCCCTCTTTGCATAATTTTTTTAAAACCCTATTTTTAAAATTGACTGTAGCTCTAATTAAACTAGTCTATCTTAAAGAGAAATTTTCGTAGGTTAAGGATATGCCATTCGATCCTCTTTATCTCTATTAGTTTAGAAGATATCGCTAAAAACATATTTCGATACAATGAGAAGACCCCCCTCTTTGCATAATTTTTTTAAAACCCTATTTTTAAAATTGACTGTAGCTCTAATTAAACTAGTCTATCTTAAAGAGAAATTTTCGTAGGTTAAGGATATGCCATTCGATCCTCTTTATCTCTATTAGTTTAGAAGATATCGCTAAAAACATATTTCGATACAATGAGAAGACCCCCTCTTTGCATAATTTTTTTAAAACCCTATTTTTAAAATTGACTGTAGCTCTAATTAAACTAGTCTATCTTAAAGAGAAATTTTCGTAGGTTAAGGATATGCCATTCGATCCTCTTTATCTCTATTAGTTTAGAAGATATCGCTAAAAACATATTTCGATACAATGAGAAGACCCCCTCTTTGCATAATTTTTTTAAAACCCTATTTTTAAAATTGACTGTAGCTCTAATTAAACTAGTCTATCTTAAAGAGAAATTTTCGTAGGTTAAGGATATGCCATTCGATCCTCTTTATCTCTATTAGTTTAGAAGATATCGCTAAAAACATATTTCGATACAATGAGAAGACCCCCCTCTTTGCATAATTTTTTTAAAACCCTATTTTTAAAATTGACTGTAGCTCTAATTAAACTAGTCTATCTTAAAGAGAAATTTTCGTAGGTTAAGGATATGCCATTCGATCCTCTTTATCTCTATTAGTTTAGAAGATATCGCTAAAAACATATTTCGATACAATGAGAAGACCCCCTCTTTGCATAATTTTTTTAAAACCCTATTTTTAAAATTGACTGTAGCTCTAATTAAACTAGTCTATCTTAAAGAGAAATTTTCGTAGGTTAAGGATATGCCATTCGATCCTCTTTATCTCTATTAGTTTAGAAGATATCGCTAAAAACATATTTCGATACAATGAGAAGACCCCCCTCTTTGCATAATTTTTTTAAAACCCTATTTTTAAAATTGACTGTAGCTCTAATTAAACTAGTCTATCTTAAAGAGAAATTTTCGTAGGTTAAGGATATGCCATTCGATCCTCTTTATCTCTATTAGTTTAGAAGATATCGCTAAAAACATATTTCGATACAATGAGAAGACCCCCCTCTTTGCATAATTTTTTTAAAACCCTATTTTTTAAAATTGACTG